ACTACGAGTTGCACTCCTTGGACTTCAGGGGAGCCTGCACGAGCAGATCTGGCTGCGCCGTCCACCTAGTTCCGCTAACGTTTTCCCTCTGGGGACCCAGTGGAGCCTACGTCGACCGGTCTACGGCCTACGCCAGGCTCTCGCGAGTGGCACGACACGCTTCGCACGACTCTTGCAGCACTTGGTTTCTTTCTGTTGTCTGGTGACCCGTCGCTCTTCGTCCGCAGCGGCTCGACCCCGTTCTTTATTCTTGTCTATGTCGATGACCCGGTCTTTGCCACTCCCGACCGCAACGCTGGCATCCCTGAAGGAGGAACTGCAGAGGAGACACACTTGCACTGACGTTGGTGAGTTGCAGTGCTACCTTGGCCTGCAGATCACCAGGGACAGGACAGCTCGCACCATTACGCTGACGCAGTCGTATATGGTCCAGAAGATCCTCACGCATTTCCGCTTCCCATTCTCCAAGGTACAGCCCATCCCTCTTGCTGTGGATCATAAGCTCACAGCTCCACCTTCGGACAAGTCCTTTGAGCCAAGTGGTCCATATGTAGAGTTGGTGGGTTGTCTCATGTACCTGATGACCTGTACTCGCCCAGACCTTGCTTTCCCTCTCAGCGTCCAGGCGCGAATTGTTGCGCCTGGGAGACGCCGACCTTCTCACTGGTTGGCTGCTAGGAGGGTAGCAAAGTACTTGGCGAGCATATCAGGCATGGGACTTGTCCTTGGAGGGAAGCAAGCCAGTTACAATCGCCTGTCACTCAGACTCTTCGTACGCGGACTGTGCACAGACGCTGAGGTCTACGCAGCGTTACTGCTTCAGCGTTGGTACACGAGCTCTTTTGTGGAGGTCGACTCGGGCGTTGTCCATCGCTAGCTCCAGCTGTGAGAAAATATTTACGCTGCGGCCATGGCTGCACAGGATCTTCGCTGATTGTCTTTCCTCCTCACCAACCTTGGTGAGCGGCCTCGCTCTCACCTAGTCTTGTTCGCTGACAACAGGTCTGTGATCATGTTGTGCGAGGAGCCTCGACTGGTTGGGAAGGCGAAGCACATCCAGATTCGTTACTTCCTTCTGCGCGAGTTGCAGCAGCGTGGCCAGGCCCGCGTGATACATGTGGCCCCGAAGGCCAACACTTTTTTTTTTCACAAAGGCTCTTCCGCCTAGTGATCACCACCGTTTCTGCACGCAACTTGGTCTTGTACTTGACGGTTCTCACTTGCTATTGTAGAGATACATTGTCTTGTACTCTTGCATCTCTCTCTCTCTCTACATATATATACCTGCATGTGGACTTGTCTAGGTGTTACACTTTGCCCTCGTTCAGTCAGGCTTTCATACATATTCCTGTTTCGAGCAGATCCTCACGCGGTTTCGCTTCCCCTTCTCCAAGGTACAGCCCACCTTTTTGCTGTGGATCATGGGCTCACGGATCCACCTTCGGACGAGTCATTTGACTCCTGTGGTCCATATCTTGAGTTGGTGGGTTTTCTCATGTACTTGATGACATGTACTCGCCCAGACCTAGCTTTCCCTCCCAAAGTCCTGGCGCGCTTTGTTGCGCCTGGGAGACAACGACCATCTCACTGGTTGGCTGCTAAGAGGGTGGCGAAGTACGTGGCGAGCACATCAGGCATGGGACTTGTCCTTGGAGGGAAGCAGCCAGTTATACTCACAGGTCACTCGGACTCGTCGTACGCGGACTGTGCCCAGACGCTGGGGTCTATACATGGTTACTGCTTCAGCCTTGGGACCGGAACTCTTTCGTGGAGGTCGACTCGGGCGTCGTCCGTAGCCTCCTCCAGCTGTGAGGCAGAGGTGTACGCTGCGGCCATGGCCGCATGGTTGTCTTTCCTCCTCACCGACCTTGGTGAGCGGCCTCGCTCTCCCCCAGTCTTGTTCGCTGACAACAGGTCTGCTATCCTGTTGTGCGAGGAGCCTCGACTGGTTGGGAAGACGAAGCACATCCAGCTTCATTCCTTCCTTCTGCGCGAGTTGCAGCAGCGTGGCCAGACCCACGTGGTACGTGTGGCCTCTGAGGCCAACACTGCAGATATCTTCACAAGGGCTCTTCCGCCTTGTGACCACCACCGTTTTTGCACCCAGCTGGGCCTTATACCTGCAGGTTCTCACTTGCTTTCTTAGGGGTGCTTTGTCTTTTACATCTGCATCTCATTATATATATCTGCTTGTGGACTGGCCTTGGTGCCTCTTGCTTGCTCTCGGACTGTGTGGTGACTTTGTGATCCACCCTGAGTTTGCCTGTTCTTGCTAACTGGTCTTGTGACCGTTGATTGTTCTTGTTGACTGATCCTGTGATCCTTGCTTGCTCTCAGACTGTTCAGTTAGGATTTCCTATATACTTCTGTTTTGCATGCTGTTCAGTCATTCATTCTCTCGTTCCTAGCTTGACACCCGGGGCACTCCCCGCTGCATCTCCACCCTGTCTCCCGTCCGGCCGTTGATGACCTTCGTGCCTGACCCTCGGTGCAGGCCCTTTGTCTATTTCACAAACTCCGCGGGGAGGCCCAGGTCCTACAAAGTTTGGAAATGGTATGGGTGCGCCACTGTGTCGTACACTTTCTGGAAGTGAACCATGATGAGGTACCAATCACCCCCTCCCGTTTTCCGCCGCCTCTATCGCGTCTGCTACCACCAACACCGCGTCCGCCGAGCTTCTTCCGGGTAAGAAACCGTGTTGGCCCTCTGAAATAATCAGATGCAACACCTTTTTGAGCCTGTCCGCCATCACTCTCGCCAAAATCTTGTATAGTGTGTTGAGTAATTGGCCAGTAGATTCCTAACTGGTCCGTCGACCCTATTTTTGTGCAGAAAGATCGTCACCGCCGTGGTCGCCGTTTCTGGCAGCCGCCCTGACTACTCAAAGTTTTGGACAAAATGAATCACCTCCCCGCCCAGAAGATTACAGTGTGCTGTAAAAATCTCCACCGGCAATGCGTCTTGGCCTGTCGACTTCCCCCTCGGCAGCCCTGCTACCACCGTCTTGACCACTGCTTCCGTCCATGGTGCTCGTAGCCGCTCTGCCTCCTACTTTGGCAACATCCTGCTCGTCCCAAGTTGCGGAACGTTAGGCTCTCCCGCCGCTTGCAGTTCGCCGAAAGCCTCCGCAAAGTGCGCCGACGCCGCTCTGTGCACCTCTTGTGACCCTTGGTAGTGCGTGCCTTTGTGCCACTCCTCCTGTATCACCATTTCTGCTTCCGCATCTTCACCTTCGCCGACAGATACGGCGATGGGATTTCCCCCTAGCCGACCTGAAGTGAGCCCGGCCAGCACCTGCAGCCGTTCCCTTCCGCGCTCCTGCGTCAACAGTCTTTCCTTCATGCGTGTGTCAGTTTGTTCTGCAGTCACCATGTGCCTCAGGTTCTCCACCAAGTGTTTTTCTATTGCATTCGCTCGTTTCTTCTCTCATTTTGTGTATAATGGTGCGCGCCAGGTCGCCCGCCTCCGCCTCGCCGCGTCCGCGGGTGATTTTCTCCATTACTACTCTCACCCCCTTTTTCTCCGCGTGCGACGCCTGGAACCTCCAGATCCCCGGGCCCCTCACTTGCGACGACGCAACCGTGAGGCAGATGCGGATTGCGAACCAGTGGTCCGACAACGTCACCGGGACCCTGATGTGAGACGCGTCCGTCAGGAAGCCTAGGAGCGACGTGGACACCAACGCTCTGTCGATGCGGGAACTGACGTGTGCTGACATCGAGCAAAAAGTGTACTCTCTCTGGTCGGGGTACATCACGTGAAAAGTGTCCCGCAGGTTATGAGCTGGCCAGATTCCAAGCAGCCTTTGGTTCTCCGTGCGTGATCCCCACCGCGACGACCTGTCAAGTTCCGGATCTGCCACCAGGTTTAAATCTCCTGCTATCACTATGTGCGTAGACGCCGGCTGCATCTGGGAGAAGGGAATGAGGCAATCAGTGAAGAAAAGGAGCTCTATTGCAAGCCTGCGCTGAAAGGTGCGTAGACGCTGGCTGCATCTGGGAGAAGGGAATGAGGTGTGCGCCACTGCTTATGTGATCCGGAGGTGCTTCTGTCAAGAACTGAACGAGAGAATGGATGACTGAACATCATGCAAAACAGAAGTACATAGGAAACTCAAACCGAACTTAGGGCAGAATGTAACACCTAGACTAACATATACAAAACTATAAGATATATAGTTTGACACACCCCCATAGTCTAGGTGACGGCAGTCCTGTGGAAAGCAACACATATCTCAGGGTGGATCACGAGGTCACCATACATTCTGAGAGCAAGCAAAGGTCACAGGACCAGTCAACAAGAACAAGCAACGGTCACAAGTCCAGTCAGCAACAAACAGCAATATAACTACACTACACCACACAACAAGCAGTTTATATAGAAATGTAACTTCAACACATCCCCTTAAACCGCTTGCAGTAATAGCTAATGTAGAAGCACCCCCTGAAGGAGTGCACCAATCGGAGAGGAGGGCGGCAGAGGTAAGTGAAGAGGGGGAGGAGAGAGAGAGAGAGAGAGAGAGAGAGAGAGAGAGAGAGAGAGAGAGAGAGAGAGAGAGGGTTAGCCTCTGCCCTCTGCCTTTAGCCTCTGCCCTTGGTTTCCTAGCTACTTAAGAGGCTGCTCTAGCCTCCTTGGGTCATTATTCAGTGGGAGCCGGAATTTTTCACTCGTTCGAGAGAGCGAGAGAGAGAGAGAGAGAGAGAGAGAGAGAGAGAGAGAGAGAGAGAGAGAGAGAGAGAGAGAGAGGGTTAGCCTCTGCCCTCTGCCTTTAGCCTCTGCCCTTGGTTTCCTAGCTACTTAAGAGGCTGATCTAGCCTCCTTGGGTCATTATTCAGTGGGAGCCGGATTTTTTCGCTCGCGTCGGCCGCCGATTGCCGCGCGCGAGGGGACGGCAAGAACAAACACACGCAATAGATACTAAGCAAGGACATACACACAATGACGGTTTCAATAAGCACCTAGACAGGCATGGCATCAAAGGGGCAACCGGAGCCCGCGCCTACATGCGGTGAGCTCCAAGGGCGTGAAGAACGCCCGTCAGGGAGCGCCACAGCTCCCGGACCACAAGCATGCTTGCGCCGATCGCCGCGGCTCCAGATCCTGCGCGCAAGTGCCGCCTCAAGCCCCGGACAGCCTCGTCAAGCTGTCCCGCAGCAGCAGCGCCACCCTCCGCGGGCGCAGCCAACACGGGCGCCAGCAGCGACGCGAGCTGGTCCGCCGCGTCCAAGCACGTGTCACGCTGGCGGCCGCGGAAAGTCTCTGGAGGAATCACGGGGAGGGACGAGTGAGCGAGAACTTGAATCAGCAGCAACGCGTGGAGGCTCTCCGCGAGTCGGTGGAGCTGGCCAAGCGTCGCCTCGGGAACACGCGTCTGCGGAGGCTGAAGTGCCTCCGTCAGGAAAAGAAGTGGCTCATCCGCAGTAACGTGGTGGGAATACTGTGCCGACGAGCCACCACCCGCAGCAACAAACTCCACTCCCGCAACAGGCGGAACCGGCGGCAGATGAAGACGAGAGCCGGAGGGAGGTGCCGAGGCAGCAGGAGCAGGAGCCGATGGGGCAAGGACTGGAGGAGGAAGTGCAGCAGCTGGCGGAGGGACCACGGGAGGCACAGCCTGAAGAGCAGCCACGTGCGCTGGCGCGGCCCGCAGCGAACTGCTCTGGCTCTGCGCCGCCCTCTCCTCGCGCACGGCCCTCGACACTTCCCGCTGAAGATCCGCCATTGTCACAGGCGGGCGGTAACCCCCGCCACCACCACGCCCGCGGGGACCCCTCCAGCCCGCATTGCCACCGGGGTGAGCAGGCCATTGGTCCGGCGGCTGGTAGCGCCGGGGAGAGTTGCGCCGGCGCCGCGACGACTCGCGCTCCTGCTGGGGTGCGGGAGAATGGGGGCGGGATAGGCGGCAAATCTGGCGACGGGGGACGAGACGGCTGCGCTACCGGGGCCGTCGGCAGCGCAGCAGGTGCATTCGGTTCCACGGCTGGAGTCTCAACCATCGGGGTCGGGCCGCCAGTGGTGGCGGACCCCGCCTGCGGGGACGAAGCAGACAACGGCGCAGGCACGTTGGGGACAGAAGCGGCCGGCGCAACGGGTGCGCCAGGGGCAGGAGCAGGGGGATCAGCAACTCCCCCAGCAGGAGCAGACGCCGTCGGCGCAACCACGGGAGCGAGGGGAACAGGAGCAGCAGCCGGAGCGGCCGGATCAACAACAGGGGCAGCCGGGCCCGTCTCGCCCCCGCCATGGGGATCCGCGGGTACGAGGGGAAGAGTCTTTTCAGCGTCTGTTGTCACGGGCTTCGGAGCCGGCGGTAGAGGGGGCTTCGTCGCCATGGTCACCTTTTCGGGCCCCGACGGAGGCTTGGCGACGACAGCCGACCAGGCGGCAACGAGCTCTGGCGACTGCTCATGAGCTCCGGCAATCACCATCGGGAGAGCAGGGAGGTCGTGGAGGCCGGAGGCTGGTAACTAGCGGGACAGGCGGGGGTCCGGAGAACGGTTACCAAGCAGCAGCGCGAATGGCTTTAACAACGTTGGCAGCAACTAATGAAGACGAGGAGTTAAGGGACCCATCTTATAGGGAAGAATCCCTCCCACCAAGCGAAGACGAGGAATCGGAGGGAGAAGGCAGGGTGAGAGAGGCAGAAGGGAGAAGAGCAGGCGAGGTGGGCCGCTCGTCCACGCAAATACCGCAGGCGGATCAGCAACCGTCAGATGCAGATCGAACGGGTGGCAATCCAACCCCTGATACCCCAGCAAGGACGAGCCGCGGTAGACGAAATCGAACCGCCGCTGCCAATACCGCGACGCGCCAAACTATTCTGAACCCCCGCTACTTTTCGCCTGACGAGCTGGCGAGGCGTGAGGACTTGTTCGCGGCCATCGCCGGCTGGGACATTGCAGCACTCTGCGACAGTTGTCAGCCTTCGCTGTCACGGCGTTTACCGCCAAATCTATGCCAGCTGTTTTCGCAGGCGCTTCTGACGAAACCCCGAATCCGAAACGGGTTGGCGCCTGCTGCTGTTTCTTCCTCGACTAACACTTCGCCAAATCTCGCCACAGCGACCAGACTGGCCGGGGGTCAAGGCCAGGCTTCGGGCCTTCCATCGTGGCGAATGGGAGCGGCTGTACCTGGACACGGTGGACGCGGTCAACACACCCCCACCGCCACGACACCAGCCTGACGCGACCGGAGTCATCAGCCGAGCTGAGGGGCTCGCGAAACAGGGCAGTCTACGCCGAGCCGTGCTGGCTCTGGAGTCAACGCCAGTCTGCACCCCCAGTCCGGAAATTTTGGAGGAGCTCCGTCAGAAGCACCCACCTGTTGTGCACGAGACGGTGATCTGGCCCGTGCCACCCGAGTCGAAGCTGTCCATCACCCATGCCGAATTCGCCAAGATTCTGGGAAGATGCGAGAACGGGGTGGGGGCCGGACCTTCTGGCACAACATTTGAGCACATGCGCGACGCGGCCACCACTAACGCAATGATCAGCACCCACCTGCACGCCTTGGTCAACACCCTGCTGGGGGGAAATTTGCCAGGCCCGGTCGCGAACCTCCTGACGGTGTCGCGGCTGATAGCCCTGGCCAAACCTGGGGGAGGGGCCCGGCCAATCGCGATAGGCGAGTGTTTGACAAGGCTGACAGCCATGGGGGAAGCTGCCCGAGAATATTTCTTGCCACTTCAGTACGGCGTGGCAGTCCCAGGTGGAGCAGAGACGGTTATCCACACAGCCAGAGCATTCCTGGATGCCCGCCCAAACTGCCTGGTCCTGCAAGCGGATATTTCAAATGCTTTCAACAGTATCTCGCGACATGCCATCGCCACAGCGTTACACGACCCCAAACTCTCGCCACTGCAGCCGTTTGTGAAACTGACCTACGGTAACCCGTCGCAACTGCTCCTGGACTCGAAATTCAACTGCGAACCCTTGCTCAGTGAACGGGGTGTGCGGCAGGGGGACCCGCTCGGCCCAATACTGTTTGCAGCAGGGATACACCCAACGCTCCGCGACACTGCAGAAGCACACCCCGACGTGCTTTGCTTGGCGTATGCGGATGACGTCACCTTCCTAGGTGACCCATCGCGCACTGTAGCGGCCTTCATGCACTTCACAGCCAAATTAGCGCAGCTGGGCCTGACGCATAATCCGCATAAATGCGCGGCGTGGAGTTCAACCACAGTAACACAGACTCAACTTCCGCCCGGGGTGCCGTTTTCCAAGGACGGAGTACGGCTTCTAGGTAGCTAGGTAGGGACTGACGCTGGAGCAGCCGGGTTTCTTTCGGGCCAGCTAGAGGGGATGGCTAAGCCATTACCGCTGATAGAGCGAGCAGACCCACAGGTGGCAGCACTACTCCTCACGCGATGTATTTCCAGGCGTGTAGCTTACCTCACTAGGACGACTCCCCTCCACTTACTCCCTCGCGCCACCTGGAGCCAGCGGGGAAGGGACTTACTCATTACCTTACTCACCTCATGCGACATCTGCGCGCCAACGAGTGGCGCCGAGCAAAAGCGTGTCTGGGAACAGGCGTCATTGCCGACGCCGCTAGGCGGCATAGGCATAACGGACCCGCTCGTAGAAGGGATCTACGGTTTCACAGCGAGCTTCACCCAAGCGGCGCTTTTTCTTTCCTCCCTCGCGCTAGAACCGGACAGTGCGTTGACTTTGGCCAAGCTTCACATGGGCACCCCGGGATGACAGCACCCCCCTGCACTCGTGGCTCACGGAGTGCGAAGCAGCCCTGCCTCTCGACGCGCGGGAGATCCTGGAGAAGGAGCGGTTAGAGCGATCGGACGTTAGGCTTCAGCACGTGCTCGGATTGAAGGTGCATGGGAGCAGATACGCAGCGCAGGTCCAGGCAACTAGGCACATGCAACCAAACCCTCTCTCTGGCCATACGCAGCGGATGTTATCGCTGACTGGGTACGGCACCGGGGACTGGCTGACTGCGATCCCAATCGAGGCCACTAGACGAATAGGCCCTGTGCACTTCGCAAACGCCGTGCGGTTTCGGCTGGGCCTCCCCTTTTCCACGCCTAAGAACTGTGACTGTGCAGAACAAACAGCTATCACAGATCCCCGCCTCCCGAACCACCTCCTCCGCTGCGGCACGGGCAAGCATCGCATCAACACCCACAATGAGCTGCGGGATGCGTGCATTAGCATGGCGCAGCACGCAGGTTTCATCGTTCACAGCGAGTCGGCTGTTTTCTGCCCCATCAAGGAACAAACCGCAGATTTCACCATGACGGATAGAAGCAGTGGGGCGGTTTACGTGTGTGACGTCACCGTCACTGACCCTATCAGCACGAGGGACCGGGAGGCAGAGAAAGGCAGGGGCTGGGCGGCTCGGGAACAGGCAGATAAGAAAATCAAGCACTATGCTAACCGGCCAGAGACAGTGGGTTTTTTCCCACTAGCGGTAGACACCTATGGCTGTCCATGCGCGGAAGTCCCTATCTTCCTAAAACTACTCGCGGATACTGCGGCTCGGCGGCACTTCAACGCCGACTCAAAATCTTTTTACGCCGCCAAGTTTCTGCACCTATTTCGGCAGCGCTGGTCAGTGGCCCTTCAGAGGGCCCAATCGGTTGGCCTCCTTCTAAAGTTGGGCGAGGCGGCAGCAGCAGAGAACCCGCCCGTAGGAGGTATCGGCCAGGAGCTTCACCCCGGGGACTGTTTTGCGGTGGTTGAGCCCTACCTAGAGCTCTAAAGAAGGAAATGGGTAGGTAGTGTTGTGTTGTGGTTTCAGGTTTGTTCTAGAATCTCAAACACCTGCATGCATGTAATTCGCAACTCTATCAATACAAGGACCATTAGAGAGAGAGAGAGAGAGAGAGAGAGAGAGAGAGAGAGAGAGAGAGAGAGAGAGAGGAGAGGAGAGGAGTACGAAGGGGGAGGTGAGAGAGGGATGAGGAGAGGAGGAGGGGTGGTTAGTTGCGGCAAACCCCTCTTACTAACCCCCAAATACCCACCCCTATTCAACCACCCCCCCTGACCTCACCCCCCTCTTCAGCCTCCCCCTGGAACCTCACCCCCTCCCCTCCACCCTTCCTCCAGACCCTTCCCCACCCACAAACGTCCCTGCAGAATGCCTCACGCCACCCCCTCAGCCTCCCCTAGTCATCGTCAGGCGCGGAAGAGCAGCGGCAGTGGGGCGGCGGTTACGGGGAACCGGAACGGGGGGGTCGCCGGGGGTCGTGTCGAGCGGGACGGGGGGGAGCATGTCGGGCAGGACGGGGCGGCGGGCGGGGCCAGCGGGGTGGTGCGGACGGGTTATGCGGACGGGGAGCAAACATGAAGCGTTGTTGACGGTCCGCCGCCACGCCCTTCCCCCTTCCCCCCCCCCCCCCCCCCACTGCGACCGTCGCTGCATATGCGCACAGCCGCGATGAAGTGACGCGACAGGCAGAGCGACGACCGATGCGACGGGCAGAGCAGGCGACGGGGTCGACGGAGGGGGGGGGGGCAGCGCGACGGGTGCAACATAAGTAGCAGAAACAGCTCCAGTTGCGGATTTCGGGCCAGCAACTCGATAGGCCGCCATGGCAGATGGCGGATTTGGTGGGCCGATTAATAAAAAGAAGGTCCTAGGAAGGACGCTCTGATAACATGTTCAGAACTGAACGAGAGAATGGATGACTGAACAACATGCAAAACAGAAGTATATAGGAAACCCTAACTGAACATAGGGCAGAATGTAAGACTAACATATACAAAACTATAAGAAATATAGTTTGACAGCTTCTTGAAAGACGACATCGCCACCTCGCTAGCCCTCTGTCCAGGACTGGCCGCAGCCTAGGACGAGGGCCTGACCTCCGTCCAAAAGTTGCGGTCTTCCTTGATACGGGTATTCGTCAGAATTACTGTGTCATTTACTCTCCTTAACCATGTCCTGCCGCTACTCCAGAGGCCGTTCACGTTGACCCCGCAGATTGAAATCTTGTGGTGTTTATCCATTAAAACACTTGTTGACAGGCACCTCGCATACACGGTCTTTGATACATATACAACAACATGATACATCGATGGCAAGATCTAAACCCCAAATTGTCTCCTTCGTGTCTGTTGCTGCAGATGCGGCTGTTGCGCCTACATCCCGAGTTCCTTGCGAACTGCTGCCAGGTATTGTGATTAGCGCTGCTTCCAGGCGGTCCTCGAACATGAAACGCAAAGTTAGTGCAGCTGTGATTACCACTGATCTCATGAATCTTAAGCAGCGTTCAGCTTCCATTTGCCGACATTGTCCTGCCTTTCTGTTATTAATCATAGTGAAAGCAGGACATGCATTCTGTTGCAGAAAACACAGGACAGCGCTGGAAAATGGACGTGCCACCACTTAAACAAATCCTCCAAGTGCCTGTAGACCAGGCCCCGTATCTTGTCAGTGTCTGCGCCACATACCGGATCCATCACCC